TTCCCCTGCCACTGGCTCGGCTTTGTCTCTCGAATGCTTTGTACTTGCTGAACAAGTCTGGCTTGAATGACTCCAAATCAGATCTTCAGGTGGCATCCTCCTTGGCCATAGACAAGTCCACAGAAAAATCATCGTCAGATCTGACTAGCACGGATGCTGACACGAGAGAATCGAAAGGAGGAAACAGCCAAGACATGATTCAGAACTCCCTCTCGTTTTACAAGGATATCCAAGCTCGGGAAAACCAAATGATCAGGCAAGCCCTCCTTGCGAACATGGCTTTCGTGGAAATGGAAATGGAAAATCCTGTCAAAGCCTTGTCGGCAGCGAAATCTCTCTTGGAACTTCCTGATTGTTCCAAGATTTATGTTTTCCTCGGCCACATCTATACGGCTGAAGCCCTCTGCTTACTAGACAGAACAAAAGAAGCCGGTGAGCATTTATCGGTATATCTCCACGAGCAGGACGGTTTCGAGCTTCCATTCTTGCAAGAGGACCTCAGCCATTGGCTCATTCATAGAAACCCTGAATTTGAAGACCCGAAAGAATCTTCTTCCATGGGAGAAGGGCAAGATTCGGTCTTTCTCAAACCGAAAGACGCTCGAGGTATGCTTTACGCAAACCTAGCTGCTCTTCTCGCAACACAAGGAGATTTCGACCGAGCCCGAGACTTGGTCACCCAGGCGCTATCCCTTTTACCGAACAACGTACAAGCCACTCTTACCGGGATTTACATCGATATCAAGCTTGGTAAGTCACATGAAGCAGTGGCTCGGTTAAGACAGTGTAACCGAGTCAGCTTTCTTCCAGGCGGGCTACAGTTAAACAGAACCTCGTAGGTGATGTTTTATCGTCAGTTATAGGGTTCGTTCGCTTTCTTTCTTTCGGGTATCGAAGATTTCGATTTTTGTTTTCCGAGGTGGGCGATGGAAGAGCGATCGCTATATCGCGGGTAAGACGAGCCAAGGTATGCTATTCTCAGATTTAGATTCATGTTTCATAGAAGAGAGCTGATCGATTTCTTGTTCAAAGTGTTGTACCTTTTTTGGTTTAGACTTGTCCCAAGAAAGAAAGAAGAATTTTTTTTTTTTTTGGGTTTTTAATGACATTTGAGTGTCCATGTATAGTTTTATGTATCATTTAATTTTTACTTTTTAGTGGTTTTATTTTATTTTATTTTATTTAATAAGGTCTAATGCGTTTCCCCCTTACGGTATTAGGTGGTTAAAAATATAATATTTTAATTCTTTAATAATTTGAAAAAATGGAAATAGGTGAGAAGTAACATAATAATAACATGAAAAAAATACAGCTTAGATTAAAAATACACTACTTTGATTAATTAGGTATTAGAAAAGAAATAGGTATTAAATGATGTGAAAATACAATTTCATATATTAATTTTTGGTAAAATGATATTTTTCTACGCGTAGTAAAATGTGGTCTTTTTATACATGTATTTTTAATTTGACAAAACCTTCATTTAAATTCAAAATTTTTCAAATATCTATACGAATTGTTAAAATTAATAGTAATTAAATACATAATCATCATTTTCGATAAAAAATTTCGGATTTTGTTAACTAATGCACTTACGTATATGGTAGTTACAATAATTACCTAGCTAATACATTAGTTAACAGAATCCGAAAGTTTTTAACGAAAATGATGATTATATATGTAATTACTGTTAATTTTAACCATTCGTATAGATATTTGAGAAATTTTGAATTCAAATATAGTTTTTTGTCAAATTATAAATACGTGAATGAAAATACCACATTTTGCTAAATTCGTGTAGAAAAATCTTATTTTCCTTTAATTTTTTGAAAAATAAAAGTTTGAATATAAATTGTTAGTATCCCCTTCATAAGTGTAATAAATATATTGAAATGTTTTATTTCTGATGTTTATCGGTGAAGAATAAATTTACCACTTAAGTCATGCAAATATAGATATAAAATGAATTTGCCGTGAAACTCTTTTTATTAAATTAATATAATGTATAAATATGGAATCTAAACATTTTTCTGCTAATTATAGGCTAGGATTTGTAAATCCATTTGAATGTTTGATAACGTATTTTAATGTATTTCTACGATTAGATTACTAATTATTGAGACGCGTAAAAATATATTATATAATACAAAGTATTGCTGTATTCAACAATTTTTTTTTATTTTAAAAAAACAGTTGTTTAGATAGATAAACCGTGAATGGTAGAATGATAAATAATTTTTATTCGAATCGCCATGTTTAAATTATTAATCATGCAGTATGAAGAAAATGCACCATGTAATATATCAGAAAACAATCTTGCATTCATTCAGATGTGAGAAAAAAAAAACAATCGAAGTTATGCAATTTCTTTTGTTCCGTCATAAAAATTTACTATTTTATTATATATTTCTCTAATATTAACTAATAAAGTTTTTATATTTTTATACAATTAAAAAAGTGTTAACATGATAATTTTAGTTCATTTCATTCCACAAATTCATTATAATATTTAGCCAGTTTATCATCTACTGCATTACCATTATGAGGCATCATGTTTTATTCTGTCAATAATTTAAAAAAAAATCTCATGAGTTCCGAGTGAATTTGGATATAATTTGTAACACCTCTTAGAATTCGACACGTGTCATTTATGTACTCGCTAGGTTTTTAGCTACATGACAGACGTCTACAAATTACAAACAATCAAATAGTGAAATTATCTAAAAAAAAACGCGAAATAAATCCGATTTTTGGTACCGTTACTTTTCGTTTCGGATTCTATAATAATATATATTGATTAATCAAACTTTGCATTGAATCATTTTATGCATTTTATTCATTTTCCCGATCAATTATTATTTTTTATTTCTTTTATATTATTTATATTTACCCTTACATTCACATTTACATATTTTCTAAACCATGGTTTTGCTACCACACGTTTTGGGGGAAATATGTATAAAAAAAAAATACCAAGAAAATGTTCGCAAATTTTAAAACTAATTTACAGACAACTAGATATAAAATATACGATAATATATCATCGTGTGTTTTACACTAAACGGTTTCTCATATTATATATAACCGAGTTTATGTAAATGCTAATGCTACATTTAAGTTTAACTCTGTGGGTTAAGTTTTGGTTTAATTAAATTATTATATGAATGATGAGAAAATGGAGCGAATGACATAAGAGAAGAATAATTCTGAAAATCATACGGTGCACAACAGTCTGCAGAGAGAGAGAGAGAGAGAGAGAGAGAGAGAGAGAGAGAGAGAAAAGAATGAAATGATGGGCTGAATTTTAAAAATACAAATGAAGAAACATAAAAGGATTAGATAAGATTGGATAACGAGAGAAATCAAAGAGAGTGAGTCTCGAGCTCTGGCATCCTCTCATGCCAATTCTAGAAGATCCTGCATTAAAAAAACAAAAATAAAATAAAATGTTACAATAATAATAATAATAATAATAATAATAATAACAATAACTTTAACAAAATAATAATAATAATAATAATAATAATAATAATAATAATAGAAGTAACAGCGTACGCTGAGTGTTGTTAAAACAATATCTCAAGTAACATATAATGGCAATTCTAGTTAGTTTAACCCATAGCGAGTGTGTATATAAAACTCTTACATACTTTATAGAATTGACTCTATAATGTAATTTGTCCATTGGTTATATATTATGGCGATATACACATAATTGGACTCGTCCATTTGGTTATATTATGGAGATTACACATCTATACATGTATATATATATGTATATCTTATGTTTCTTCATTAACTATGGAGATATACACATAATGTACTTGTCCATTTGGCTATATTATGGAGATATACGCATGTGTGTGTGTATATATATATATATATGTTATGTTTCTTCATTAGCAAATCTTGTCAAGTCCAATGATTAGTCAAATCAACCATCTTTTTTTGTCTAAAAGCTGAATAGTGTATATATATAATCTCACCTCGTGACCCCTTCAGAGAGAGCAGGTGAAGCCAGGGGGAGGAGTCTTGCCGCAGGAGACGAGAAGCTGAAGAGCGACGGGAACGTAAAGTTTGAGGTTTAGAGCTTTGAGCTTAAGCGTCGTGCAGAGACAGGCGGCGGCTTCGACTTCGGCAAGCCCCTTCACCAACGGACAACATTTGTTCACGGCCGGGTCCCCGAGCCCTATCTTGACCAGCCCTCCCAGCAAGTCAACGCACGCTCCTAGCTTCAGAGTGTCGACCGGACACTTGGCCGCTTTCCCCGGCGGCGGCGGACACGCCTTCCCTCCAGTTGCCGGTGGGTTCAAGACCGGCAACGGCGGCAGAGGAACCGGAAGCTTCGGGACGGTCACGGGTGGGACGGGAAGCTTCGGGACGGTAACTGGAGGGACAGGCAGATTCGGGACGGTCACGGGTGGGACGGGGAGTTTCGGGACGGTCACGGGTGGAACGGGGAGCTTCGGGACGGTCACCGGAGGGACGGGAAGTTTCGGGACGGTAACGGGTGGGACTGGGAGCTTCGGGACGGTAACGGGAGGGACGGGGAGCTTCGGAACGGTAACGGGAGGGACGGGGAGGTTTGGGACGGTAACGGGAGGGACGGGAAGTGTCGGGGAGGAGGAAGGAGAGTTTTTCGGGGAGTGTTTGGTCTTGGGAGATTTGCAAGAACCGCAAGAGAGAGAAGGGGTGAACAAAGAAGCGAAGAGAGCGAGGACGATGAGAATGGCAGAGAGTTTGGAGGAATCCATGTTTTCCGGCGAGTGAAGGTTTTCTCGGAGAGAGAGAAAGAGAGGATTAGGGTTTTATATAGGGAGAGTGAAGAAGAGGGGAAGGTGGACCACGTGAAGATGGGGCTACCACCGAGAGGACATGAGACCAAATTTTGCTAGTTGGCAATTATCATAAGGATACAAAAATCCCCTAATGATGCATCGCTATTTTGTGTTGGCGATCCATTTTTATGCATCGCCACCCTTTTTTCCCTTCCCCCTACTTTCTTGGTAATTCGATCCATGGAATGCGCATGCGAGTTACAATATATACATAAAATATGCAAATATTATCATTTAAATTAAAAACTACTCCCTCCTTTTGTTTTAGGTATTATAACAATTTTTAAATCATCTTATGGTTGCTTTATAATAATCATTTTTTTCACTTTTATGCATTAGTACAATGTATCCTATAAGTTCGAACCCATGATGTTTTTGGTTAAAAATTACCATCCATTAGAGATTATTCGATCACCTTATAATATATGTTTTAATTATGGCATTTCTTTTTTGTTTTTTGTTTTTAATTTTATAAACGAGGTGTCCGGATCTTATTATATATATGTGTATGTGTGGAGAAAGAGAGAGAGAAAGAATTCGACGTGTTGATGACATTTTCTAGTGAGTAAATTAATGTGCGCTATTATATGTTTAAGGACTTCAACCAACGATGATTTCCTACGTATTGATGAGAATTAACTCTTTGGTAGTAAAAAAAAATATTTACTTCACAAATCAAGTAAATGAGACTCACTATTTATCCGGGAAAATATCCCAAATGACACTCCCATCTTTGGGCAGACAAGACAAGCAACCTCATCTCTTTTGCAACTTATATTTTCTATGATGTTACAACTTGTGAAAATGAGGCACGCAAAAAAAAAAAAATTAAGAAACTAAATGATCATATAATCACCGAGGATATATAACACTCTTTATCTTGAGATTAGTTATCCGAAAGAAGTATATATAACTAGGGGTGAACGTTTCGATTCGATTTCACGTAATTGAACCGTACCAAACTGAAAATCTCGACATTTTTCCCGAATCATACTATTCAAAATTTTCGAACGGTATATTTTTTTATAAAACCGAATTTCTCGGATTCGAACCGAACCGAACCTAACCTAACCGAATTTTATAAAATTTCGGAAAAATCAAAATTTTCTTAAGAAATCTAATATTTTTTAACAAAAACCGAAATCGAACCGTATTGAAACTGGAACCAAACCGAACCGAAACGATACTAATTTGACACAAATTTTAGAATACTGAATAAACCGTTCCAAAACCAAACCGTTAAAATTCTGAATCGAATCCCGAAACGCCACCCCTATGTATAACCCTTAACGTGATAAACCTCGGTTTGAGAATCATTCGGACCAAGGATTTGGATCCTTTTGCAAAATAGAAACAAAGTGTTTAGTTCTTTTTGTAGGTTAGATAGTTAACAACGAGGAAATAAAAACAAGACGATCAAACTCCAAATTTTTATTTAATTTTTTTCCCCCAATGGATGGATCTTACCTTTTGTTCTTTTTCTTTTTTTAAGCTGCCAACTAATGTTATATATTTACATTCATCCAGGAACCAAACTCGAAAGAAACTCTCAAGAAAAATATCTAAAAAATGAAGAAAATGAAAATATGTTCCCATTTTTCGGAATTAAATCATAAAAAAAAAAAAAAAAAAAAGGAAAAGAAAAAGGGGAGGGATGGAAAAAAAAAAAAAAAAAAAAAAAAACAGGGAAATGTGATAGAGAACGTTAAGACAGCAAAGCATAAAAAAATGTAACATGTGGGATTGGGTCGTGAAGAAGATGCTGTTGTTTTGGTCTCTTGCGGACATTGCCATGGACCATTTTTATTTATTTTTTTATGTCTTTTCTTTTTCACCCCTTCAATTTTCATCCTTCTGTTTTTGAAGTTTACTGTGTCTTTACTTTCCATAAGAGAGTACCAAAAAAACCTTTGATCTTATCAACATGAACAATATGTAGAATTCCGAAACATCTTACCATGATTTCGGTTAGTGAACCTAGCTAGAGCTCGACCGGCTAGTTGTATGATGTATCATCAACGCGTTTGTGATAGCGATTGCGGGTGATTTCAATGTATTTGTTGGCGATTAACACCCGTTGTTTCCGCTATCAAATTGTGAATTGTTACGTTTTAAAAGTACGTGACTACTATGAAGTAATACGTGATGTTATTATGAACGTTAATAATTTTAAATAGACAAAACTATTTCTCAAATGTAGAAAATATTTAATTATAAATTTTCAAAACATAGTGTTCAGTATTTTAATTTATTTTTTGAAATGAAAAGTCAGTGTTTTTTAGATCATGACAGGAGAGATGATTTAAGGGTTTTTAAAAAATTTCAAAAGCAAAGATATTTTGGTCTTTTTTAGTAAAAATGATACAAATACCTATCAAAACTTATGTGTAGAATTACAATTAGATTTTTCACGTTTTCATTGCCGCTAGAAAATGCAAACGCTATTGCATTTACGTATAATAACCGCTGTTCGAATTTCGGAAGAAAAAAACGAACGAAAACGATGTTATATATGATCTCCCTGTCGAGTTTTGTGGAAATGTGCTAACCCCCGAGAGGATAAAGGTTACAAGATTGTCTATATGTCTATATAAATCCTCTTGCACTAAACCCGATATTGGGAGAAGAGTTCGGTTTGGTTTATCTGGTCATAGTTAATTCGAGATCGGTTATTTTGGATTTTGAAAATCATAATCAATTGGCTATTTGGTTTTAATCGGTTCGATCCGGTTATACCTAATCATATCTGTAACCAAATAAAAACTCATTTCGATTCGGTAATAATAGTAAATTAAACAAATTTCGAAACATTGAAGAAAAATATTAAAGACCTCAATTTATCTATATATCATAGTTATAAAACTATATCACCATTACCATTATACTAAGTTCTCTGATTAGATATAACATATATTGCATATATTAGAAGGACTAGATTCTGTTATGGATAATTTGGACTCAATTCACGGTAAATTCGGATTTGGTTATTTCAGATTTTAATTTAAAAATTATTAACCAAACGGTTATTTAGTTGTAATCGAACCCGGTTCGGTTAAATCGAACCGATTGTCCACCCTTGCAATGGTTGGGATTAGATTACAGCCTCATGCAACAATACAGCCGTAGGATAATGGAGTTAACTTAAAAACGATACAAAGGGCCCGAGAAAGGGAAATGACGTCGGAGGGAGGGAATAAACTGTTCTTTTTGTGCTCTGGTGTTTTGTCTGGTTTCGGTGCCTCCATGTGAAACCCTAAAAGATGTTTGGTGAGATTTGATTTTAACGGCTAAGATTTGGCTACAAGATCTTGTGGCCCTCGCTGATTTGAGATCCCCGAATGGGTTATGATCCATTGGTTTCTGCTCTTCTTTATCATGTTCTTGTAGATAGACCTCTACCCTTGCCTCTTATGTTTCTGAGGCTGTCATGGCCCTCCCCCTATGTACATTCATGCATATATACGCACACACATATATATATATATATATACACGTGAGTCCGCAGATACACACATGATGCATATATGTATATCATAGTCTATTTACAACTCTAAACTCTGCCAATCCGAATAGATACACACATATATGAAATGTGAAGAAACTTAAGTGAGATGATTACTCACCAGAAAGTATATACATGTACGTTATTGAAAATATATGTATTTGATAAAAAAAAAAAAGATTAATTTTGAAAATAGAGAACTTAACGAGAAGGCTACATTTTAACTTTACAGTAAAAAGAAAGTATCAAGGTTTGTACCTGGAGTTCGTTCATCATCATCAGTCGGAATCCCCGACGGCGAACCAGTCACTGGACTCGCCTTCCGAATCTTTCCGTCGCTCTGCGCCGCCTCGGGGACTTCTGTTCAACTGAATCCAATCGCTGGAACCGCTAGCATTCGACACTCTCCTGTTGTGTACGTTTGTATTGGACGGTGGCTTACCCGAGAAATCGGTATCATCGTCAGCTTCTAGATCGCTGAAGGATATATCCTCCTCGTCTTCTCTGGAACTCCTTTCCGTTTCTCCGGACGATTCCTCGCTCTTCTCTTCATGCCCGATGTTCAGGGTCTCTGCTTTTTCTACGATTTCATCGACATTTTCTGTTTCCCGGCTCTCATTTTCTTCGGAAGTGTCATCATCTTCGGAACTATTGCATGATCTCGCCTCCCTCTTTTCCTGCAGCTTTTGTAAAAGCAGATCTCTCGTCTCAACAACCTGCACCATTATCAGTAGGGGTGGTCACTTCAGGTTTTGGTTCGGAATCGGTTATTTCGGTTTTAGAAAAACTATAACCATTTGGCCTTTATATTGAATTTGGTTCGGTTTTTATTGAAAAACTCCTTTTTCAAAGAAATTTCCGATTTCTTCGGATATTTTGTATTCCGGTCCGATTTATTCGATTTTTGAGAAATCATACGCATTTGGGTTCTATATTGGATTTGGTTATGTGCTATTCGTTTTGGATCATATCGATTATTAACCAAATTGGCCACCTCTAATTATCAGGCAAATGCATTTACAAAGCAAAAGACCTAGCAATGTAGATTCGGAAGAACTATAATAAGATTATACAGTCCCTAAACTTCAGATATTAGCGGATTTGATACGATTTGACATTATAAGAACGACTGTTGAGTGGATAATACCCCTTAGGTGCAGAGATTTACCTTAGAGGTTGCTAGAAGCTCAAGATCATGCCCATTCACTCTCGGCATCAGTAATATGAAATAAATCAGCCAGAACTGCTCGTCATTCATGCATCTACTGACTTCGTTCTTCACATCTGTGAGGCCGGGAACCAGTTGCTCGATAGCCGATGTGTGTGCCCTTTGAGCGTCAGACAATTTAAAATCTGCAACATTGTGGTGAGAAGTTCAGTAACTGAGACATGATTTCAAGAAATTCACGGCACTATTTGGTCTTGAGAGAGAAGATACACTAATCATACAAGATTGCATCTCAAACTGGCAGATTCATCTCCTAACTAGGAAGCGGACCCATGAAAAGGTGAGCCAACACGATACACTAACCATACAAGATGGAGTTTGCGACTTGAAAAGATTGATGCTTTGTGGCCGAAGTGAAAATTGAAAATGCCGGTTCACAAATAGTAATAGGAACCGAACCCCCAGGCTTTACCGATTCCAGTTTCTCGGTAAAGATTGGAACTAGAAATCTGAATATGAAGACGGGATTATTGAAGTTGGCCAGTAACACAAGAATAAGCATACCCTTCACTGAAGAGGGTGGATACAGATACAGATCAGGTGAAACAAAAACAGTCAACTACATATGCCATCAACATCTATCCGTATCAACCCAAATCTAGGTTTGTGGTTATGATGATCGAGAAAACAACAAATCTCAGGCCTTCTTAACCATAATTCCTCATTATCTAGATGCAAAGAACCCACCAAACAGAGCCTAAATTGTGCAAAAACATTGCTACAAAATGACGGATAATCGAGAAAAACTACATGAAATTGATGAAATTAGGGATTTACCATTGTCTAGTGACAAAGGGAAATCTGTCCAGCAACCAGGCCTCGTTGAAATCTCCTTCGCGAAAACGATTACTTCCTCAGAAATCCCAGGTACTTCATTGAATTCGTCATCCTCAGATTCGAATTCCGTCTCCTCTCTTCCCCTTTCATCGAGATCAGCAGGA